CAACACTCTTCCAGGCCACACATTAACATTATTCTTCCACAGCAAATGCTCTGCAAGCACAATAAATAACAACGGCAACAGCAGAAAGGGGGGTGCTATTCCTATTCTTCTGAAGAAGAAACGAAAGAGAGCTTCAAAATAAAGACTGCAGCACCATCTGAACCAATGCGCGGACTTCCCCAGACACTTTTTTGGCTGAGTGAACTATCTTGTTATGTACGATCTTTGTTACTATCCAGTACCTCTTTGTAACGTAGTGGCGTCGGTAGCCTAGTGGTTAGGCTACCGGACTCGTAATCGTGAGATTGCAGGTTCGGGAGTTCGAGTCTCAGCTCGGTCCGACGTTGTGTCCTTGGGAAAGGCACTTTACACGAATTTCCCACTTGGCTCGGTCTTATCGGAGACGGATGTTAAACTAGAAAGTCCCGCCCCTTAAATAGCTTAATAGTGTTGATTGGGGCGTTAAACACATACCATTTCACAATTTTTTTTGTATCATATCTTTATTTTATGTAAATTCTTAGTCGTGGCGACAAAGAAAATGTGTAGATTTTCTTGCAATGACGTCATGTGTTTTTGCTGTTTTCCCCAGTATCCTAAGTGGAGCAGACGACTTCCGGGGCTATCTGGTGGAGCTCGCCAAAATTGTGACTGGCACTGGGATGCTGAAGGAGGTGAGGATATTAGTATGGAAGATAATGGTGTGATAATATCTCTCTCTCTCTCGCTTTCCCTTTGTCTTGATCTCTCTCTCTCTCTCTCTCTCTTTCTCACTCTCTCTCTCTCTCTCTCTCTCTCTCTCTCTCTCTCTCTTTCCGTTTTCCTTTATCTTCTTTGCTCATGTTATTTTGAGAGAGAGAGAGAGAGAGAGAGAGATGGGGGGGGGGAGAGAGAGAGAGAGAGAGAGAGAGAGAGAAAAGGAGGGGGTGGGGCAATAAATGAGTAAATGAGTGCAGACGTCCTCACACTGTTAGCCATGCTTAAAGAAAAGATTTATAGAAAACACGTCCAAGTGTATGCTTAAATAAAAGATTTATAGAAAACACGTCCAAGTGTTTGCTTAAATAAAAGACTTATAGAAAACACGTCCAAGTGTATGCTTAAAGAAAAGATTTATAGAAAACACCTCCAAGTGTATGCTTAAATAAAAGATTTATAGAAAACACGTCCAAGTGTATGCTTAAATAAAAGATTTACAGCAAACACCTCCAAGTATGCTGAACAAACGCTTCTGGGCATCTGATCAACATTACAAGTGTCCAGTTTCCCGCTGTCTCAGAATTATGCGGAGATTGTGAATTGATTGATTGCACATTTTGCTGAGGTGACAATTGCTGTCAACGTAAAAAGTTCTCGCGAGCGATTGGTTGCGGCAGAGTTGTTCTTTCTTTCTTTCTGTTTTTGTTTGAGGGGGGTTTTTTTTGTTTTTTGGGGGGTGGTTTTCATTTGGG